CAGCGCTGAGAAACCCGTGAAAAGTGCTTTCTCATTATTAAAGTGAATAAATCGAACTGTTTGTTGCTAAGATGATTTTGGTAGTCCTAAAATGATGAATGGGCTGCACGTAAGGAGACGTAATTGATAATTCTCCCGAATATCCTGGTAAATACACTTTGACTTAAGTAACAAAAGGGGCCACCAAACGACGTATAATAACTTTTGACTCAAAAACCAGTATTTTTTAGCATGAAAGCTAGCGATTTGCATTTGTATGATTAAAACCCTGCTAAATATGTTAAACATTGCTATCACTATGAGATTATATGTGTTTACTTGGAAATAGGAATAACTTTTCGGTCATCAAAACAAAACTTTATTTTTCTCGGATTGGTGCGAATGTTACTTACGACATAATGAAAATTTGCTCTTGATATGGGAAAATCACGAAAATTTCATTGTTAAGATACTTAACAACCCCCCTTTTTTATTGTAAATTTTCCATTTACCATGAAATTTATTGTTTTGTACAACATAAATCAAGGTAAATTTATTGTAGACGTAACAATATAAATCATTGTTAAGACAATAATTTTCGTCTCATTGTTACATTGTTTTTTAATGTATTTTTGTTATTATTTTTTTTCGGGTGGGGCGATCTATATGATGACAATAGAGCGGCTATTTTTTACGATTTATGTGACGATTTCAATTTGACTATTTTGAACACTGGTGAAGCGACACGTATAGCAAAACCTCCGGCTCGAGAAAGCCGACTCGACCTATCTTTGTGTTCAAGATCGCTATCATTGGATTGTCAGTGGAAGGTTATCAATGATCCCCATGGTAGCGATCATTTGCCAATCATCATTTCAATAAAGTGTGGTCCTCACTCTGCAGAACCATCTCGGGTTCCATTTGATCTTACAAGGAACATCGACTGGCAGAAATATGCAACGGCGATGACAATCGGTGTCGAATCAATAGATGCGCTTCCACCATTGGAAGAATATCAATTCCTAGCCGATTTGATTTACAAAAGCTCACTGGAAGCACAAAAAAGAAAAGTTCCAACACCTGGTTGGGACGAAGAATGCACAAAATTGTATGTAGAAAAATCTGATGCTTTCAAAGCTTTTTGTAGACACAAAACCTCCACTTACTTCGAGGAATATTCAAAGCTTGAGACAAAGCTGAAACAATTAATCAAAGCAAAAAAAACGCGGTTATTGGCGCAATTTCGTCGAGGGACTCTCACGAGAAACCTCAATGAACACCTTGTGGAGGATGGCTCGCAACATGCGTAACCGCTCATCTTCCAATGAGAGTGAAGAATACACCAACCGATGGATATTAGATTTCGCTAAAAAGGTCTGTCCGGACTCAGTTCCAGCACAAAATATTCTTCGAGAAGCGTCTCCTAGCGGCGGCTCTCTGGATAGACCATTCTCAATGCTGGATTTACCTATGGCTCTTCTTTCATCGAACAATCCTCACCGGGAAGCGATATGATTAAATTCAATCTTCTGAAAAATCTCCCAGATATCGCTAAAAGACGCTTGCTAGATTTATTCAATTCCTTGCTAGAAAACAACATTGTACCGCCTGAATGGAGACAGGTCAAAGTAATAGCCATTAAAAAACCTGGCAAATCAGCGTCTGACCATAACTCATACCGTCCGATTGCTATGCTTTCGTGCATTAGGAAATTGTTGGAGAAAATGATCCTTCGGAGACTCGATCACTGGGTCGAATCAAATAACCTGCTATCAAATACACAGTTTGGGTTCCGCAAGAGCAAAGGAACAAACGATTGTCTAGCGCTGCTTTCCACAGATATTCAACTGGCCTTTGCACATTAAGGGGGCTTTTGATTCAGTTTCCATTGAAATTCTGTCAGACAATCTGCACAGATGCGGACTTTCTGGAATTTTAAATAATTTCTTGTACAATTTGTTGTCAGAAAAGCAAATGAACTTTTCCCTTGGACAACTGACAACTTCCAGAATTAGTTACATGGGCCTGCCCCAAGGCTCATGTCTCAGCCCTCTTCTTTATAACTTTTACGTCAAAGATATCGACAACTGTTTGGCAGAACAATGCACGCTAAGACAACTTGCAGCTGACGGTGTGGTTTCCATAAGAGGTCCACATGCCGTGGACTTGCAAGGACCATTGCAAAATTCCTTAGATAACTTGTCTTCTTGGGCTATGAATCTAGGGATCGAATTCTCGCCGCAGAAAACTGAACTGGTAGTGTTTACTCGAAAGCGGTACCCAGCCCAAATGCAGCTTAATCTTTTGGGCAGAAACATTACCCAATCATTGTCTTTCAAGTACCTTGGGGTCTGGTTTGATTCAAAGTGCACTTGGAATGCCCATATTACGTATTTGAAGCAAAAATGTCAGCAGAGGATCAACTTTCTCCGTTCAATTTGCGGCACATGGTGGGGTGCTCATCCGGGAGACCTCATAACGCTTTATAAAACAACAATTCTCTCTGTTCTTGAGTACGGCTCTTTCTGCTTTCTCTCGGCAAGAAAAAGTCACCTGATAAAATTGGAACGAATTCAATATCGTTGTCTGCGTATTGCTCTAGGCTGTATGCACTCAACGTATAACATGAGTCTCGAGGTTCTGGCAGGAGTAACACCCCTCCAGAACCGTTTCTGGGAGCTCTCTCTCAGAATACTAATCAAATGCGGAGTGACGAACACACTTATAATTGCTAATTTTGAAGAAATTCTTGGGCTGAACACACAATCTCGATTTATGAGAATCTACCACCACTACATGTCATCAGATATGTGTCTTCCTTGTTATACTCCAGACCGTGTTCACTTCACCAATCGCAGTTTCTTAATTGAATATGATCTGACCATGAAACAAGCAACTCATGGGATTCCCGATCAACTTCGACCTATTATTATTCCGCTTATTTTTACTGAAAAGTACCAACAAGTCAATTGCGTGAAAAGATATTTTACAGACGAGTCCCGTCTCAATGGATCCACTGGCTTCGGTGTCTTCAATGAAAACTCTAGCGCCTTCCGCAAACTTCAGGAACCTTGTTCCGTTTTTGTTGCTGAGCTGGCAGCAATCAACTTCGCATTGGGGATGATTTCCAACATGCCCGCAGACCATTACTTCATCTTCACGGATAGTCTCAGTTCGATTGAGGCTATTCGGTCGATGAAACAAGCACTCATCTTATTTCCTTTCAAAGGTAAGGGAGCAGATGTGTGTGCTGGTCGAAAGATCATATATGATTACCTTTGTATGGGTCCCCTCACATTGCTCAATCCCAGGCAATGAGAAGGCGGACTCTCTCGCAAAGGTGGGCGCGCAGGAAGGCGAATTGTATGACAGGCAAATTTCACACGATGAATTTTATGCGTCAGAGTACCTTTTCGAGCTGGCAAACCGATTGGGACACTGGAAATCTTGGACGGTGGTTACATTCAATTATTCCTAATGTTTCTTCGAGAGCGTGGTTCAAAGGCTTGGGCTTAAGTCGTGACTTCATTCGCGCGATGAGTAGACTTATGTCCAACCACTACTCGCTAGATGCTCATCTCAATCGTGCACAGCAACATCTGTCGGTGCGGAAATGGTTACGATGACATCGAACACGCAGTTTGGCAATGTACGGATAATGACGCCGCCAGAGAGCGACTTTTGAATACCCTCGAGACCCAAGGAAGACAACCCTATGTTCCTATCAGAGACGTGTTGGCAACCCGTGATATCTGCTATATGCAGTCCGTTTATGTTTTTCTTCAAATGTCTAGTATAAGAATTTAATTCCTTTTGTCTTTTGTCTCTCTTTAATAGTTTTTGTTTGTCTTGTCCCCCCGTCTCGATGAGTCTCATCGTCGCCCACTGGTCACCCACCATAGCCGGTCGAACTCCGGACGAAGCTAGAACAGCACTACCGTTCATACTGGCGACAACGCTCTGATGAGACAACGAAACCCTACCCCAAGCTCCTCCCCAAATCCTATTACTCGAACCTCGAGTAAGCCGCGAGTAATCGGCATAACTTCTTCTAGACATAGAATTAAGTGAATTTTGTTACACACAGTGAACAATGAATTATCGGCTCCGTAAAGCTAACGCGATTGAGCCTTCCAAATAAACGAACTAGATAAAAAAAATGAATCAATAAAAATATTTTTATTTCTTCTGCGTGAATTGTCAAACTTCATAAAATAAATTTGATTGCATCAACAAGAAATCTCTTTTAAAAACAAACATATTTTTGTTGTAGACCCAGCTGCCAAATTTAACAGCTTACGTCAAAAGCTCTTGTAAAGGAACAACAATACTGGATTGTTGAAACAATAATGATTTCTTTCTGCACTCAAAACAAAATGAAATTCTTATTGATTTTACGTCAAATATTATTGCGTTTAAAATATTTTTTTGTGCGTGTTGGGGGTCTAAAATAAACCTACCCCAGGTTATCTTCCATTTATTTAATTCCACTTAATTAATTTTGGTGTCCATGAGGTTAGGTTTTTGATAACTCTTTAGTGGGAATGACACTGATGAAGACTGCACATTGTAGTCGAAATATGTAAAAATGTGTAAATATGTATGGATACGATACCAAAATTAATTAAGTGGATTAAATTAAATTGAAAGATAAAAATGTTTGCTGTTTTATTCAAGCATTCCACTAACAACTCAATTCCATTAATTCAGAACATCCCGGCGGCGCAGAAAAAAATGGTTGAATTTTACATCAAGCAGCTACACAGAGTTCATCGGTACATCGATTTTGCGAACAAAATTACATCAATTGATGTAATATGTATTAAAGAGAGAACACGCGCAGACACGTCCGTATTGAAAATCGTTTATTTTAGAATGAAGGGGAAAAGTACAGTACAGGCAGAGAATAAAAAGTTCTACACGGTGAGCGTAAACTACACCGAAGCTGGTTAAATTCTACTCTGCCACAGATATAAAGAACAGATGAAGCACAGCTTACACTACTATCTCAACACTCCCTCTTAAGCTGATGCGTCCACCCCCATAGCAACTCGGTTTCGCTCCAGCTTGATCCGTTCAAGAGTCTTCGTTAGGCCATCTGCAATCTGTTGATCGGTGCTCACGTACTTCAGCCGAACGATGTTCTGGTCGAGGGCGTCTCGTATGAAGTGATGACGTATGTCTATGTGCTTGGTACGTGGCGTGTACCCTCCGTTTTTGGCAATGCATATAGTGCTTTGATTGTCGCAGCAAAGCTCGATGGTTTGATCCAGTCCAAGTTGTTTCATCAAACCACGCCACCACATGGCTTCCTGTACGGCGGCAGATAAAGCCATGTACTCGGCTTCACAAGTCGATAGGGCAACTGTGGGTTGCCGCTTGCAACACCATGACACCGCACCTCCTTGCAGCATGAAGATGTAGCCGCTAGTCGATTTGCGATCATCCAAGTCCAGAGCCCAGTCGGCATTGGAGTAACCAATCAGGTCAGTACTACAACCCTTGGTGTACTGCAGCTTGAGCTTCGACGTACCTCGTAAGTACCGAAACAGGTGTTTAACCGCTGCCCAATGCTTGACTCCTGGATTCGTGTTGAAGCGACTCAGTTTGCTAACGGCGAAGAGGACATCAGGTCTGGTGCATTGCGCTAGATACATCAAACTGCCTACAGCCTCCTGGTACGGCACCTCTTTCATTTTTGCAGCTTCATCCGCGGTCTGCGGAGTCATCTCTTTGGTCAGCTTCAAGCTTGAGTTCATCGGAGTTGACACTGCCTTCGCATGTTACATGTTGAATCGGGACAGCATCGCCTCGATGTATGCCTCCTGATCCAGAGCTACGGCATCGTTGTCACGAGTAATCCGTATTCCGAGACATGAACTTGCTGGTCCTAGGTCCTTCATGCAAAACGTGTCACCCAGCTTCATCTTGATCTCGGCAGTCCACGCTTTATCGTTGGAAAAGATAATCACGTCGTCTACGTTGATTGTAATAAATATCATCCGGTTGCCTTCGATGCGATAGTAGAGACACGGATCGTACTTTGACGAAGTCAATCCAAACCTTCGCACCGCAGCATCGAGTTTAGCATTCCATACGCGACTGGACTGTTTGAGTCCGTATAGAGCTTTATTCAAACGGTAAACCAGTCTTGACTGACGGTAGTTTTGGAAACACGGAGGCTGTTCCATGTAAATCTCCTCCTTTAATTCTCCCTGGAGAAACGCCGTTTTAGCGTCCATTTGCTCGATAGCCAGTCCATGCCGGGCGGACAAGGCGAAAAGGTACCGCAGGGAGCTATGACGAACCACGGGTGAGTAGGTCTCATCATAGTCCACCCCCTCTCGCTGCGAGAAGCCTTTTACGACTAGGCGCGCTTTGTGTCTGTCCACGTTGCCGTTTGCGTCGTGCTTGGTCTTAAAGACCCATTTGCATTTGATCGGCTTCCGACCAGCAGGCAGTTCGGTCAAGGTCCAGGTGTCGTTTGCCATGAGCGCACCATACTCCTCACGCATCGCTTGCTTCCAGAGTGCTGCGTCTTCCCGCGACAGTGCCTCTTGGTGCGTATCCGGATCGCCATTTGGTAGTGGTCCCTCAGCTACGGCCATGTCGACTGCGGTTGCGATACCACCGAACAGGCCTTGGGGTGTGAGCTGCACTGGTGTGTCCAAGTTGTCCACGTTCGTATTAGCCTCCTGTAAACGTTGAGAATGCGGCAGACCTTTGTACGTTACTTGAAAGTCATTATACTTGCCTGGGATTTTGTGCTCCCGACCGCTACGCCTCAACACCTGTGACTGAGGTGGATTTGAAGTTTTGTGCGGTGGGAGCACAGGAGTCACGTCGATCACGGTTTCTTGTGAAATGTCAAAGCCGTTGAACTCTTCTTCGCTTCCACTTTCGTAATCCGTGAAGAACTCGTCCTCAGTGTCGTCGTCCTCGGTTTCTTCAACCAAGCGGTTGTCCGAACCTCTTGCAGCTGGCGATGAAGAAATGAACTCGAAGTCTAGCGGGGCCAAGATCTGAGTTGCTTTTCATCCGGTGCGCTTTGTGTATCTTCGTCGATGAAACAGACTTCGCGGCTGGTCAACACTTTACACGACTGTGGAGCGTATAGCCGGTATCCTTTCGTGTAGTCGTCGTACCCAACAAAAATGCATTCCCGAGACTTGGGGTCGAGCTTGCGTCGCCGTTCCTTGGGTATTTGTACCATTGCCTTGGTACCGAAAATCCGAAGATGTGACAAATTGGGTTTCTTCCCGGACCAGACTTGCTCAGGAGTAGAGTTGTGACCTTGAGTTGGGGATCGGTTCAGCAGGTAGACGGAAGTATGTACGGCCTCAGCCCAGAACGTCTTCGCCAGTCCTGCTTCGTACAGTAGGCATCGAGCACGTTCAACTATTGAACGGTTTGCACGCTCCGCTATACCATTCTGTTCCGGAGTGTATGCTGTAGTCTTCTGGTGCTGAATACCATGCTGCTTCAAGTACTTCTCAAATCCATCATTCACGTACTCCTTTCTGTTGTCGCTGCGAAGAACCTTGATCTTCCGCTCGGATTGGCGCTCAACCATTACGTGGAATTCTTGGAAAGTTCTCAAAACTTCTGATCCCGATTTCGTTTTGAGGAAGTACGTCCACATCTTCCGAGACTTATCATCCACGAAGACGATGTAATATCTGCTTCCTCCAAGAGATTTCACCTCCATGGGCCCGCAAATGTCGGTGTGTACCACTTCGAGCATTTCTGCTGCACGCGAACCTTCCTTGCTAAAGGGATGCGACAATGTTTACCCATTGAACATACCTTGCAGCCTCCCGGGTCTGTGCTGTTAATTGTGATTCCATCTACCAATCCGTTGGCTAGCTTTCGAACGCTCTTTAGGTTCAAATGTCCCAGTCGTTGGTGCCAAACCGTCACACTGGTTGCTGGCAAGCAAGCCAAAGCATTCTTCATGTCCTGCTGCTGCTCGAGCGAAAACAATCCGTTTTCGTGCCTGCCTATGGCCACTGTTTTCCCGTCGCTGTTCACAATTTTACATCCAGCATTGGTAAACACAACCGTATATCCCTTGCGGTTCACGGAGAGAAGATTCACTGAAAGATCCGGGATCAGTTGGACATCGTGTACCGGAATACTGTTCTCCTGACAAGCCGGCTTCAACGTGGCCGAGCCACTTGCCGTTACCTTCATCCCGTTTCCATTAGCAGCGACAACTGACCCAGTCGCTGGCTGCAAATTTTCCAGAAACTTCGGGTTATTCGTCATGTGCACACTTGCACCTGAATCGATGAACCACTTTGATGCCTTCGTGGATGAAAAGGTTGACAGCACCACGCAGAAAGCATCCTCCTTTTTGGCACTCCTGCAATCACGAGCAATGTGTCCAAACTTGTGGCACTTTCGGCATTTTGGTCCTTTGGGGGGATCACTCCTCGGCTCGTTTTGCTGCTTATATTTCCCGCTGCGTCCAGCTGCTCCCGTCCGTCGACTAGCAGCCAATGCCGCATCTTCAGCCGAAAATTTTACCTCCTGCAGCAGCTTTGTTTTTATTGCGTCCCCGGTAATCGGTGTTCCCGAGTTCTCCAGAGCCATGATCATCGGGCGATATTCGTCGGGGAGACCAGCCAGCAGCAACGTTCCTATCCATTCATCGGAGATCGGGAAATTTATCCCGTTCAGTTGATGAGCAGTGGTCATAATCCGGTTGACGTAATCGTCCATTGAGGAGCAAGCAGACAGCTCTGTTTTTACCAACTTGTGCAACAATCCGATCCGTCGCGTTAGACCTGTGTCGTCGAATGCACTTTCCAGTTTAGCCCAAACTTCCTTCGCCGATTTCGCTTCCTTCACGTGGACATAGTTAACGGGATCGAGAAGCAAAATGATTTTTGCTCTCGAACGGCGATCGCAAGCAGCGTCAACAGCTTCGTCGGTTCCGTCCTCCTTCTTCTTCGGTTTCACAGCGCTCCACAGATCCTCCAGCTCCAAGTTATCACGTCCCGTGAGCCGCTCGATTCCCGGAAGACTGGAGATGTTGTGGACTACTGATCCAGCACCACTACCCGATGCTCCAGCAGAGTTTCCGGATCCGCTTCCAGGCATGTTTACCACTCGCGTACCGTAGAAAAAAACTTTTTCGCACTACGAATAAACTTCCGTGAATAGGCCCATAACCTATTAAAGAGAGAACACGCGCAGACACGTCCGTATTGCAAATCGTTTATTTTAGAATGAAGGGGAAAAGTACAGTACAGGCAGAGAATAAAAAGTTCTACACGGTGAGCGTAAACTACACCGAAACTGGTTAAATTCTACTCTGCCACAGATATAAAGAACAGATGAAGCGCAGCTTACACTACTATCTCAACAATATTGTATGCAGTAATTATGTCACACTGGGGGTTATTCCGAGAGTCGAAGTGACTTTTTTCACTAGTGAAGTGAGAAAAGTCACGTAGTGGTGACGTGACTCTCTGTGCAAATCAAATGAAAAAATCCCCCCCCCCTCCCTCGTATTGTCGCGTTTCTCCAATACCTAATGCATTGCATGTCACAAAATATTAGACCCCCCCCCCCTCCCTTAGAGCGTGACATAATGCATCACCCCTATATGATCAAAAAGCACTACATCATTATTTCATACATCAGCTTGAATTACGTTGCTCGTTTTTTTGCTGTGCATGGAACAACTGAACATTCGGTATTTTTTTTTTACAATCCGTTCGGTAAATTTTGTTCCCTTGTGAGCTGTTAAAATGTACTGATCAGGACTGTTTATTTTGTTGAATGATCGATAAAGTTTACAATAGCGTTAGGTTTATTTTTTTACTGAATTGACTGTACTTAATTTTCCTGAATGGATCTTAATCTCGACCTTCATAACATGATTTTTATTAATTAATTAATTAATTATGTCTATCTAGCAACAAACCTAAACATTAATTTCTCTCATAAATCATTTATTATTTATAAAAGGGTATTTTCATCGTGCGTCCGTATATACATTAAGTAAGTTTGTGTGTCTGAAAGCAATTGCCCCAGAAATGAAAAAGAATTACATAATTAATACTTTCGGCGTAAATTGATCAGATTGTAGGAAAAAAGTTTTAATGGCAGCCATTTACAATTTCGATCAGTAAATTTTATTTACAGGTTTCGGTGTATTTCTATACATTACGGAAATTCAGCTATGATAGCAGCTGAAAATTGGTAAAACAATACTTTTTACAAAGCTTTCTGTAAAAATAATATTTTACAGAACGAATTCAGCAAAAAAAAGTGCCGAACAAGATTTAAGAAATTTGGTGTGTAGGAAAAATATCCCGCGCAAAATAACCAAGCATATTCCTTGTATTGTCACTCAGATGGCTCTAGTGTGCTCACTTTTCATCCTGGAGTCACTCAAATGTAACAGTATGTTAATCGTCAAATTCATAGTGTTTGAACGGGTTTTGATATGTTTGAGCAAGTGTGAATCTTTATGAAAAAAGTGACCGAAAGAATTACTGCGCTGGAATTTGTGATGGCGGTTAAGTAGCCGCCAATTCTGGATTTATCATGCATCGGATAATATTTTAGACACCTATAAATGACAAAGCACAACACAGTTACCACTTCCAGAGATTATTGAGAAAAAAATCTATAGAGAATTACCACTGGAAATGCAAAGTATCAAAATAATTGCTTAAAAACGTAATAGAATACGTAATAAACAAATGTAAAATCG